TATACCACATCCACAGCTTCACCCTTATCCACAAGACTCGTTATCCTATCAAAGAAAGCTATCAGATTGGTTTGACATGATTTGTTCTTCACAAATCCATGCTGGCTGTTCCCTCTCACCTTACCACCTTCCAAGTGTTTCAAGATGATTTCCTTAATTACTTGCTCCATTATCTTCCCTGGCACAGAAGTTAATCTAACTAACTGGTCTGTAGTTTCCTGGGTTGTTTTTATTTCCCTTTTTATAGATGAGCACTATATTTGCCCTTTTCCAGTCTTCTGGAATCTCTCCAGTCTCCCAGGACTTTCCAAAGATAATAGCTAGAGGCTCAGATACCTCTTCTATTAGCTCCTTGAGTATTCTAGGATGCATTTCGTCAGGTCCTAGTGACTTGCAGGCATCTAACTTTTCTAAGTGATTTTTAACTTGTTCTTTTTTTATTTTATCTGCTAAACCTACCCCCTTCCCATTAGCATTCACTATGTTAGGCATTCCTTCAGACTTCTCGGTGAAGACTGAAACAAAGAAGTCATTAAGTATCTCTGCCATTTCCAAGTTTCCTGTTACTGTTTCTCCCTCTTCACTAAGCAATGGGCCTACCCTGTCTTTGGTCTTCCTCTTGTTTCTAATGTATTGATAAAAAGTCTTCTTGTTTCCTTTTATTCACGTAGCTAGTTTGAGCTCATTTTGTGCCTTTGCCTTTCTAATGTTGCCCCTGCATTCCTGTGTTGTTTGCCTATATTCATCCTTTGTAATCTGTCCTAGTTTCCATTTTTTATATGACTCCTTTTTATTTTTTAGATCATGCAAGATCTCGTGGTTAAGCCAAGGTGGTCTTTTGCCACATTTTCTATCCCTATCCAGAGTCATATTTTTGCAGAAACTCGCCTCAGCTGAAGAGTCAGGCACCTACAGGTGACCCTAAAATACAAAAGCAGACTCAATGAGCCCCCAGTTCCCGGGAGCCACTCACTGCGCAGCTTGGAAGCTGAGTTGTACCATGGGCGGGTTAGTGGGTTTCAGTGGAAGCGCAGCAGCTCCGTAGGTTGGACTGGGGGAAGGACAGGGTGCCTGGAGGGGTCTGCAGGGGGAGTGTGCTCTCAGAGTGTGATGAGCAGCGCAAGCAATGGGTTTGAATAATTCTCCTCTCTGAAGGCTCTGGCTGCCTTCCCCAGTCCACAATGGGCAAGGATGGGGAGCGGCATCCAACACAGTGCGTCTGCCCCGGACTGACACTGTCGCAACCTCCAGCACTTCGTTCACACCTCAGGGTAATTCCGTCCGCCCCAAAGGTCCTGCTGCCTGACAACTGGAACCCTGACACCCCCCCCCCCCGGCCGTCTGACCCCGGGTCTGACTCCCAGGATAGTGATTTAACCATCCCTCTCTCTACCTCAGCCTCGCCGTGTAGCAGCTAAACGCAGCCATCCGTGCTGCAGCGGTGTGAGGGGGACATGGCTTTCCAGAATGGGATGTGGTTCTGTGGTATCATTCCTCGCAAGCCAGCGTTCCCCAGAGCCTGAGTCTGGGAGCTCCGATGCGGCTTGGTTTGTCATGTGCTGTTCTGGGGAGAGGTGAAGGCAGCAGGTGCCGGTGAGATGGCCCTTCAGCGAAGGGGCTGGGGCCTGTGTGTCCGGGAGAATAACACAGGTAGCTCTGCTCTCAGCTGGCCTGTCTGAAATCAGGAACTCTGGGGCTGTGCTGAGCGCAATGCAGCCCGGCCAGCCCCTGGGAGCTCGGCAGTGGAACGACGCTCACTCTGCTTATTGGCTGTGTGGCCAGTCTCGGCACAGAGAGCGCTTGAGCCTTTGTGAAGGTAAAGCTCTGTGAGTGCTGCTGAAGGTGCTAGCTAAAGCCGGGCGCAGTGTGGGCAGAAGCCAGGGAAGGTGAGGCACCAGTCACTGCACAGCCTCAGCCGAGGAACATGCCTGTAAGCTGCGACCCAGCGGGGTCAAGCAGTCTTGTATTAAGCATTCAGTTTGCTTGGGGCTAAATGGGAGGGCAGCTTCCGCTGGTGGGGGGGGGGGGGTAGGCCGGTGGGGGTGGGGGGCCTGGCACATCCCCAGGGGATGGTGCAACCCTAGAGCATCAGGCCATGCGCTGGGGCGGTTGTGCTCAGGCACCCCGTGAGATCTGGAAGTGGAATCCTTGTAGAAGGCAGCTTACGAGGAGCTGATCTGGGATTTGCAGTGCAATGATCTTCCCGTCTGTCCTGGGGGAGCACCTTGGGTTTGGTGTGCAAAGCCTGAGGGGTGTGAGAGTCCCTGTCGAACAGCTGGGGGCACTTGCCTGGCTGCCTCTTTGAAGCAAAAACCAGCCCAGACACTCTGCTAGTGCTCTCGTGGTCCGAGACTGGTGAGGAGGGCCCTCTGCTTGGGTTCTGCAGTGATGCCAGCTGGTTGGGGTGGCTGAGGGAGTGAGCTGTGGCTGCATAGCTCTTGGCAGGCCTGGCATAGCCCTGTTGTCTGGACCCAGTGTCTCCGCCCGTTCCATGGGAATCCTGCTTCCTGGGGCTTCTGGCAGGAAGGTCTGATCTCTGCAGGGATGCTCCATGCATTGCTGATACAGCTAAATGGGAGCAGCTCACCTGAGCCTAGCGCGGGGTCCGCAGAAGAGATCTGGCCCTTCCCACCTGTGACCCGGTTCCCAGGGGCCCTGCCTGGAAGCAGGTTTTAATGTAGGTCTCGGTTCGCGCTCAGGCTTGCTGTGGGCCCAGGGTGGGCAAGCCCTGCTGTCACCAGCTTTACTGTCTCTAACTGCTGACTCCACAGCCGTGTTCCTCGCGGAGGAATGGTCCTCAATATCTTGCTGCTCTTCGAGGAAAGCCCATAGACTCATAGACTTTAAGGTCAGATGGGACCATTATGATCATCTAGTCTGACCTGCACAACACAGGCCGCAGAATCTCACCCACCCACTCCTGTTTCAAACCCCTAACCTATATCTGAGCTGTTGAAGTCCTCAAATCGTGGTTTAAAGACCTCAAGGTGCAGAGAATCCTCTAGCAAGTGACCCGTGCCCCATGCTGCAGAGGAAGGCGGAAAACCCCCAGGGCCTCTGCCAATCTGCCCTGGAGGGAAATTCCTTCCCGACCCCGGATATGTCCCCATCCCCAGGCAGGAGCAACTCCAGTGTTCCAGCCCCTGAGCTGTGTCTCCTTGATACTCTTCCTCTCCCTCCCGTAACCCCACTTCCTCTGGCAAGTCCACAGCGCTGAGGCAGAGGTGGCAGGAGAGCTCCCAGCGTTGCCTTCCCAGACACCCATCTCTGTCTGCACATAAATAAGGATTTCCCATTCATCTTCCGCAGACGCCTGCCTTGACTGCCTGCCCCGTCCTCCCCTGGCTCTCCCAGGGAGGCGTGTCTCCTCTAGGCCTGTCATCTAGTCCCTGACTTAGCAAAGGGGGATGCATTTGAGCAGTCCCACTGCGCTCCATGGGGCGATTGTGTGCACAGCCGACGTGTTTGCAGGATCCGAGCGGGGACTGTAAGCGCCTTGGGGCAGGAACTGGCTTTATTTGTGGCTTGTGATCATGGAGCTTGTAGGTGAGACGTAAGGTATTGTTAGTAGTAGTAAAGCCTGGCCATTGTTCTCCCTCTCTGACACGTGCTTCTGTGCCTCCTTTCGGGGCTGCCTGAGCTTGGTGTCTCTTCTGAGGTCACAACCTCCCTTTGCTGCCTTCCTCCCCAGGCCCGTCACCCAGCAGAGCTGCACGGCGAGCTGTGGCTTAGTTCCTGCGGCTTAGCTCTTGTGTTCCCAGGCGCAGTCTGAGATAAACACATTTCCTCAGTGCACTGTTGTGTCTGCATCTCCCAGCTCCGCTTCCTCCTTCCTGACGCGTTCGCCTTGGAAACTCTCCTCCTGCTCCTTGCGGCTCCCACTTGGTGCACCGGATCAAACGGAGCAGGAAAGACCCTGTCCCTGTGGTTTCCTTCATGAGTGGGTGAGTGCTGGGCTCTTCCTCAGGGCTGGAGACAGAATAGTGGCAGCTCTCCTCCCTGTCGCTGCTGCCTCTGCCACGTTTGTGTAACAATACAAACTGTAAACCAAGCTGACTAAGAGGCTGATACTGCCTTATTCCCTGCAAAGCCTCCGCTGAGGGAGGCCCTGTGGGAAAGGGACAGCGATTAGAGAAACTCAGGGCACAGAACTGAGTCCCCGAAACAGCTTTGAAAAAACTCTCTCTGCTGGCTTCGAAAAACCCACCAAATGATCTCAGTGCTACGGGGGCGCTTCGCAGGGGAGCTGCGGCCTCCTGGAGCTTGGAGCGCCTTCTGGAAAAGGTTTGTGAAAGGAGGGTTTCTGTTTTCTTTTTGTCTTGGTGGGTGACCGAAATGCCTGCCTGCCCGTCCGTACTTCCCTGCAGTCTTCTCTGACTGGGGCCAGGGCCATTACAGCAGCAGGGGGGTGCTTTTAGCACAAGAGCTGCCTAGATGGTCTAAGATAAAATAGCTGGGGACCCTTCCCTGGACCCTACACTTGGGTTCCATCCCTGTCTGGTTTATGTGTAAAGATTCATTATGCATAAAAGCAGAGAGTGTTTGCTCTCTAAACTAGTGACCCAAGGATGAGTTGGGTGCTAGCCATGGGTAATAACCCAGAGTTGGAATCTCAGACGACAAACGTCTGTAGAGGATCTGTAAAGAACCGTCATTACTTGAAAATGTCTGACCGTCACAAATGCCCAGCGTGTGTGTCTGTCTACAAGAGATCAGTCATGTATGGTCCAAGACACGCTGCTACCCTGGGCGGTTTCCAGCAGCAAAGGCTGCTAGCTGGGAGGCGGTAGTGTTGTCGGGTGTTTGGAAATCTCCTTGCCCTGGTACCAGAGTCCTGTGTTGTGAGAGCGCTCCCGGAGCTGGGCTGAGCACTGTGCCGGCAGTGCCATTGCATAGATAGTCTGTTGCATTGTGGGAGTCAGTTCTAGCGAAGCTCTGTTAATTCTGCCAGACACGCCAGTGGGGTGACCACTGACCACCAGCTGTAAGGTGGCACAGTTCCTGACACAGCGCCAGCCTGCAGCTTGGAGGGGTCAGTGCCTGCTGGTGAGCCCCTCGGTGTGATTTGGGGGGGGTCAGACTCCCCCCGCTCTCCCAGGACTTGATGGCCCTAGTGCGTATCATTGGTAAGAGTGGCCTTTTGAGGCCCATGAAGCCTTTAAGCACGTGCCCTAGTTCTGACCCGTCTGCAGCTGTGCGGAGCACCCTGTCTGCTGCTCTCGCTGTGGTGTCTCTGCTCCCGCACAGAGAGACCAGCCCTCCCTGCTCTGGGAGAGGGGAAGGGGATGGGTAGGTGGGGGAAGGGGTAGATTTGGAACAGGGCTGGAGCACCCGGCTGTGCGACCTAATTGACTGGCAGGGACAGAGATCTGTCCAGGGTGTTTCTAAGGCCTCTGACCTTGGGATCTACCTGCTGGTCTGCACCCTTCAGCAGGATCAGATTTCTACAGGGACTCTGCAGCTGGGGTGTGGGGGGAGCAGAGACTCACGCTGACATGAACCAGAGCACAGTAAGGATGAGGTCTCTGCCCACCCCGGTGCACAGAAACCGTCCTCTTGAGGGAGGTGGCAGGGATGCAACTCCTGCCTGACTCAGGAGCGAACCCGAGTGAGAGGGAGGCGCGTCTGGCGGTAGATGCTGGTGGCAGAGCAGAAGGACGAGGCTAGCTGAGGCAGAGGGCAGAGCACAAACCCCGAGGAAAGGTGAGCGGCTGCGTAGAGATTAGTGACAATGTGCAGAAAGAGACGATAGGCCAAATTCAGGGGCTTCCCTGCAGAGACAAGCATGGAGCCTCCTTCGTCCTTTAAGTTGCTGGTCAGGATACTTGCTGCTCCTTCGCTCCCAGCCTGGCACTTGGACACCACCTCAGCCCAGAACTGGAATTCCACGCTGGAAAGCTGGTTGCGAAGCTGCTGGCAGGGGCGAGCAAGGAGTGAGATTGTGGGGTGTGAGGAGAAGGCTGGGAGGAGGTAGGTGAGCGGAGCACTCAGCCCAGAGATGGGGCTAAAAGGAGAAGGCGGCAATGCTTCATCTCACTCCTTAAATGGGAGCCCGTGTGGCTACCTTCAGTGTTGTAAATGGAGAGGAGCTGTGGCGTGTCAGTTCTCGCAGGACAGCAGCCCATGTAATCGGCTGGTTGGCCTGATGCTGTCTGTGGACTGAGGATAATGGCCTTTTAAACGCTTTTTGTTTACGGTATCTCGTCTCTGTATAATCAGGGGCTTAGTATTGTAGCCAGTAAAGTCTCGGAAGTCAGTCAGCAATGAATTCTGAGGGTTAGAAGCTGGGTCATGCTCCAGTACAAAGACAGCTGCAGAGGGACCGACCCTGGAGCAGTCTGTCAGCCCATCGCCGTGTTGATCAAATTTGGTCGCTTGACTTCAGTTTCCTGCATGTGGCCAGTCTTGGAGGCTTGGAGTGAAAGATGGGTTCATCTCTGCCCTCTGGATCTGGGGAGGGTTGTTTTTCCCCAGTTACTGCATTGACAACAGTTGCCTTTGGAGCACAGTCTGGGAGCTGCAATCTGGGCTCACGTCTGGGTACTGGGTGGCATGAAAGTGCCCTGTGCTACAGTGACGGACAGAGGCGAAGGTTTGGGAAGGCGCAGGCTGCGGTTATACCTAGTTAGCGGAGAACTCCCAGCCTGTTGGCTCTCGGCTGGGAGTCAGGTTCAGTCCCACTAGCACAAATCTATCCTGGAAGTTATAACTGCCCAGGTTTGGGGATCGCTTGTGGTTTGTGGACACTTTCTGGTCCACCTCAGTAGCTAAAGGCAGCTCAGGATCGTTACGCTGAGCTCCGAAGACAGGAGCATCTGCCCGAGTTGTCTCAAGTTTCTGGAGGGTCTCCAGTGTCGTTTATCGGGTTGGGACGTGGCACTTCAGAACGCAGGATAATCGTTCCCGTTGCTCCTGCCCCACTTTGCAAACTGCTTGGTGGTGAGGAACAGAGCCCCCCGGCGGGTGTACTCGTGCGTCTGGTTCCTTTTCTCCTGTTTCCTCCAGCTGCCTCCGCCTCCTCCCTCTTGAAGAGAAACGGGGTAAGCCTGCACTTTCTAATGTGCCCACGAGTGTGGGTGCCTCTGGCCGTGGGCCCTTTAGGAAGCATGTGACCGTTACAGTCAGCCAGTTCAGGGAGGTTTGCTGCTGCCGCTCTGCTCTTCCGACGACGTTCCCTGTGGGTTTCTGCTCGTTGGTCGCTGCTCAGAACTGGGAGGAAGGGAGAAGCATAAGGCACTTCCCATGCTGGGCTCTAGCTCCATTGTCTGAAGCACTTCCCCCCAGGACTCCACCCCAGTATGGGCGCACCCACTGCCGAGGGGGTGGGTCCCTGGGTTTGACCAAAGTGAACAGAGCCAGCCTCTGCTGGAACCAGTTTGCAAACTGTGTTCTAACCTAGGCCTAGTTTTAAAACCTTTCTGCCCAGTGTAGACGTACCTGCATTGCTCGAGGCTGGTCATTACAGCACAGAGCCACAGGAGCTGAGCTTCCCAGCACAGTCTCTCTCCAGCAGAGATCTGCTGTCCCCATGGGAGCAGTGTGACCCTTGGGGCTGGCTGGCTCCAGGGACCGTGACCTTGGGGGTCACCAGCTCTTATCCAGACTGGGTGTGACTGCACAGCACTGCCCATTGGCTGTCCCTTCCGCCCCGCTCTGTGATGGATAACGTCATCCTTCTTCTCCTCCAGATGATCGGACTCTAACAGAGGACAAGGTTCTGTGCTGCCAAAACCCCACCTGCATTGACCAGAGGAGGGCTCTCAAGGTACTGTGGCTGGGGGTATGGGTGGGGGTGTGTGGCTGCGGGGTGTGGCTGGGGGTATGTGGCTGTGGGGGGTGGGTGTTATTGGGGATCCAGAGGTGTCCCTGGGAGGCATTTCTAGCTCAGAGCTGCCTCAATGCTCCATCACTATCAGAGTGGGTGCTAAGGACACAGCTGGCCATCTCGCCTCATCTCCGGTCCCCAGCATAAGGGCTGTTCCCGCCCCTCTTGGGCGAGGTGGGCCGAGGCTGAGTCACAGGCCATAGGAGCGGTTGGATTTGAGGTGGGCACCTACGTGTGTGGCCAGCGTTCCTGTTCCCAGAGACGGTGACGACACTGCCGGTTCCGTCTGGCTGAATGGCTCCCAGGAGCTAGCAGAGCCCAGCCATCTTATCAGCAAGAGGTTTCTCCACGGAGATTTAGGGCTGCCAGATCACTCAGTCGATTCTTACGGAGCTTAAGTGTTCTTGGCTGCGTGACAGAGGGAAGTGTCTGTCTCTAGAGCCAGTGAGTGCACAGAGGAGTCTAGGAGACAGCACTTACCAAAGGATTGCCACCCTGGGGAGGAAAGAGAAGCCCAGGCCCAACTGGAGGGTCTTTCCTTTCCCACCCCCTCTCCTGTCTTGCAAACCAAGGTATCAGCGAGTTTTATGTGAGCCCCATTATGTCACTTTGTTCTTCCTTGTGGCCATTGCCAACAGAATCGCGTTTCCAGACAGTCACAGGAGCCAGGCACTGGCAGCTGGCAAATGAGTCATTTCAAATGGACTATTGAGTTTCTTTGGCTCCTTGTCTGAGGATCCTCTCCGGCTGGAGCCGGAGGGGCCCCAAGAACGTTTGCACTGGGGCCGGCTGTCGTTTTCCTTTTGCTTTCGCTTTTAAGGTGCCTTCTCTACAATTAGCAACAGAGGGTCCCGTGGCACTTTTAAGACTAACAGGTGTATTGGAGCATAAGCTTTCGTGGGTGAATGCCCACTTCATCAGATGCATCCGACGAAGTGGGCATTCACCCACGAAAGCTTATGCTCCAATACATCTGTTAGTCTTAAAAGTGCCACAGGACTCTCTGTTGCTTTTTACAGATCGAGACTAACACGACTACCCCTCTGATACTTCTCTACAATTGTCGATGGAGCATGTGAGTAGCTGGGTCTGAGTGCAGAGCCAGGGATCCTAGAGAAAGTGGGAAATACCCTAGAGCTACTGTATCTGCTGCTGCACTTACCTGCTGAGACCCAAGTCTCCCTGGCAGCTGTCTGATACTGACTCATGTGACACATGTCACTCTGCCATGGCAGAGTGTGCGGGGGAATGGGGTGGGGAGGGTGCATGAGGTCACACTGCTTGCTTCAACCCAGTCTGAGTGTCTGGCAACAGCTGGACTCTGTCTCTCTGCTCCTGGGGCCCCTGCTGCAATGAGAGAGAAACTGCCTCAAATCATAAAACTGGTGTAGTGCTCTGGTATGGGTCACTGGCACGGCGTCCACATGTTAGCAGGGACAGGTTGTATGTGCTCTCCAGTTTGCCTGCAGCAGGGATCCCAGTCTGGGGTTAGCAATCAGAATAAAACAGAGAGAGGCAGGGCCGACAGCTTGGCTGGGGGTCTGAAGACCCTGATGTAATTCTGGCTCGCCTACTAACTTGTTGTGTGACCCATGGCAAATCACCTTCTCGATCTGCGAAATGCTGATACTGATGCCAGCCTTCCTCACCCTTGTGCTGCTCTGAGATCAGTGGGGGACAAGCGCTCTGTGTGTGTGTGTGTGTGTGTGTGTGTGTGTGTGTGTGTGTGTGTCAGTGTCAGACTGCACACGCGGGATTAGAATATATTTGTGGAGTCGATTGATATTTTTCACACACTTTTTTTGTCAAAAGATGGGCTCTTTTCTAAAGCAAAACCTAGCACAAAAAAAGTCGACATTATTGCTTTTCATACAATTTTTTGCATTTTTTTATCAACCGTTTTATTCAAGTTATTGTGGAAATGTTTCATTTACTGAAACCGTACACTTATGGATAAAGAAAAATTTCCATTACAATGTCAAAAACTTTCAATAAAAAATTCAGCTACAATATTGTGAAAAATGTTGTGGAAAATGAAAAATGGCCCCTGTGAACCAGAAACAATTTGGAATGTTTTTGCAGTGTTTTTCCCATCTTTTCAGCCATCTTCTCTCTGGGGACTGGCCACTGAAGAGATGAGCTCCTTGGGGCAAGACCGTATCTAAGTAGCTGGGCCTCATGAAGTGCTCCGGGCATCGGGACGGAAGGTTCTGTTTGTTGACTGTAATAGGGGTGTGGGGTTGGTACTTACGGAATACACCACTCTGTGCTCTTGGCAGTGACAGTTGGGAGTCTGGGGAGTGTTTCTAGCTGTGTTTAATTGTTGCATCTGAGTCTAGAGGGGCTTGGGCAACAGGCACATGCTCTTATGTCTGAAAGTATTCCTTGCCGCTAGCTACCTGCTCTCTGGAAATGTCTGTCTGTGGCAGGCCCCCGCTGGGCGTTCAGCTCGTACACAGGGAGTGGGCGTTTTCCACCTCAGGGGGTTAGTTTTGCAAATGATGAGGGGAGAGATTTTTAAAGCCTTTCTGGTCTGTAGTGCTGACTCCAGTGTAGCCTAGGCTATATCTGTCTGTCTCCCCTCTCCACAACGAGGGGCAGACATCAGTTCCTGCATTTTCATTTTGGCTCTTTAAAATCTCACTATGCTAGTAAAGTTGGTGAGTAAAGCTGACTGGCCAGAGGCCATTTCACAGCTAGCAGTCGACTCTTTATAAATTAGCCATTTAGTTGAAAGCATAAAGCCAGGCCATTGGCTGGGGATCTGGGGCTGCTGAGACCACAGACTGCCTTGACTGTTACTTACCTTGGAAACAAATGGTGTTCCAGACAGGGAACATCAGCCAGGCTGCTAATTTTACCCTCTCAGCGAGGAGCCCGACGCAGTCAGCCACTGGCCTTCCAGCTCTGACACTCCATCTGCCGGGAGCTTTGAGCTGCATGTTCTCACTGGAACCTGAAAGCAATCTGGGGGTGCAGATTCAGTTCAGTGTCAGCAGCTCCCGTATCAATCCCCTGCCAAGCTCCCTACTAACGCTGTACACAATGAATTACTTAAAAAGCAACAGAGGGTCCTGTGGCACCTTTGAGACTAACAGAAGTATTGGAGCATAAGCTTTCATGGGTGAATGCCCACTTCATCAGACGCCTGGCGTGGCATTCACCCACGAAAGCTTATGCTCCTATACTTCTGTTAGTCTTAAAGGTGCCACAGGACCCTCTGTTGCTTTTTACGGATTCAGACGAACACGGCTACCCCTCTGTTACGATCAACTACTTGTGAGCCAAGAGCCCAGCTCATGTCCCTTGTAGCATTGCCCCAGGATGGGAGACTCCAACAGTCAGATGTTGAGTGCGCAGGGACCGTTGCCTACCTGGGGTGACACTGCAGCTCCTGCTCTCCTCCCTGGAGCCCTGAGGTGGAAATCTCAGCTGCTGCACTGTCTGTCTGTCTGGTGGTCCTGCAGGCCAGGAGTGCTCTGTCCCTTAGTGACTGGGCCAGGGTGCCATGAGAAGGCCTACGCGTTCTGCCGTGGCTGTTTGTGACCCCTTCCTCCCACACTGGCCCGGAGGAAGCAGCACTCGCTGGGCAGGGAAGTAAGCTGGCAGGAGAGCACGGAGCAGCGGTCTGACTATGGAGCGCTCAGCGCTGCCTCCCCTCCAGTCCCACAGACCCCTGCCCCTGACTTTCCCAGCGGGAGGAAGGGAGGGGGGCAGCTGCCAGTGGCAGAGTTCAGAGACCTGGGGCCAATGTGTCCCTCCCTAGGTGCAGTTTGCAGGGCAGACGGGGTGGTTTGAGTTAACCCACGAGTACCAATGACTGTGATTTCCTGCGGCTTGGCAGTAGGAGCTTTCCAGTAGCTCTGACAGATGCCAGCCTGGCGCATGCAATGGGGATGGCAATGTGTCAGGAAGTGGGTTTCCTGCTCTGGTGAGTTCAGGCCCCCAGCACTGCGGGGCTTGTGGGCAGCAGTGTCAGGGGATGGGCAGGGTTGTCTCTGTTGTTGGCAGGGTGGGGCGATTGTTTGTCTTGGGTGAGCAGTGGGCATGGGAGCGAAGCCTGTTTTTAACCTACTTTCCATAGCAGAATTATCATGATTTTTTCCCATTCCTTAGTTCTTGGGCTCCCGGTGGGTTGTTAATATGGCACATGGTCCTCCGGCTCCATGTCTGCCATGGAAATCAGCACAGAATGGCGCTTGTTCCCAAGTCCCCATAGCGGTGCCGGGAAAGCTCCAGGTGTGCCGAGCTCTCTGCCCAGCCCCCCATACGGGGAGCAGAGCCCTAGGTCACAGGCTACCCTACACAATGGGGTTATTGTAAGAGCCAGGGCCCCTTCCTCGGGGCTAGGTGGAGCTTTCACAGAAGGCTGCTGCTTCTGCTCTGGCACTTACAGCAGTGCTAAAGAAGAGACTGGAAAATGAGCTAATGCGTCTTTCAAGCGTGCACAGGAAATCTCCGTTTATCCACAGACTGTCTGCTCAGCACAGTGTGCGAGTTTGAACCAAAGAGCGAAGGAAAGGGCAGCAATCAAAGGCACAGTATGTGAGATGAGGTCATGCTGCTCTCTGCACAGGACGCTCCACCCCTGAGCCTGGCCGGGAGGGAGGCGCTCAGTTCTCGGGACAGGCTGGGAGTTCTGGGTTAATGCTGCCACCCCAGAGTCCAGTGGGGATGCCTAGCAGCAGTCCCTGGAGGGAATGGAGGGCTGTGCTTGCTCTTCAGTGATTTCCAGCAGCCCAAGGAGAGTCCAGCCGGGATTTAACTTCACCAGCGCAGCTGCTCCTGATCCGATATAATTCAAGCTAATCTAATTGAGCCTGTTCATCCTGTTTAGTGGCAGGGAAGGAATTAGCTTGCATGTTGACACAGCCTGCAAAGGAGGGACCTCTGGGAGGGTGGTGCCCCTGGCAAACTAAAAACAGGGGGTGCAAGGTGCA